TCATTCTGGCAGTTCATAGGACTTTCAGTATTCTCTGCCAACACAATTCAAAACGATCAACTCTTCTTGGTCTTCCTTAGTAATTGTCCAGCTTCCACATGTCTATGAGGTGAATGAAAACACCACAGCTTGGGTTAGGCACACTTTAGTCTTCAAAGTGACATCCTTGCTTCTTGACACCTTAAAGAGGTCTTTTGCAGCAGCTTTGTCCATTGCATTACAATGTCTGATTTCCTGACTGCTGTTTCCATGGGTACTGACTGTTGATCCAAGTAAAATGAAATTCCTAACAACTTCAAACTTTTCTCCACTTATTGTGATGCTGCTTATTGGTCCAGTTGTGAGGATTTTTGTTTTATTTATGTTGAAGTGTAATCCACACTGAAGACTGCAGTCTTTGATCTTCGTCAGTAAGTGCTTCAAGTCATTTTCACTTTCAGCAAGTAAAGTTGTGTCATCTGTGTATCACAGGTTGTTAATGAGTCTTCTTTCAATCCTGATGCTGCATTCTTCTTGATACAGTCCAGCTTTTCGGATGATTTGCTCACATACAGATTGAATAAGTACGGTGAAAGGACAAAACCCTGACACACATCCTTCCTGATTTTAAACCATGCAGTATCCTCTTGTTCTATTCAAAGGATAGCCTGTTGGTCTATGTACAGGTTCTTCATGAGCACAATTAAGTGTTCTGAAATTCCGATTCTCCGTGATGCTATCCATAATGTGTTATGATCCACACAGTCAAATGTTTTCTCATAGTCAATGTACAAAGGTAAACATCTTTCAGGTATTCATTGCTTTCAGTCAGGATCCATCTGACATCAGCAATGATATCCCTCATTCCATCTTCTCTTTTGAATCCAGCCTAAACTTTTGGGAGTTCCCTGTCAATATACTGTTGCAACCATTTTTGAATTATCTTCGGCAAAATTTTACTTGGGTGTAATATTAATGATATTGTTCAGTGGGATCACTTTTCTTTGGCATAGGCACAGATACTGATCTCTTCCGGTCAGTTGGCCAGGTAGCTCTCTCAAATTTCTTGGCATGAAGTAATTAAGTGTCTCCAGTGCTGCATTCATTTGTCGAAACATCTCAATGGGTATTCTGAAATTTCTGGAGTCTTGTTTTTCACCAATTCCTTCAGTGCAGTGTGGACTTTTTCCTTCAGTACCACTAGTTCTTGATCATATCGCACCTCTTGAAATAGTTGAACATCCAACAATTCTTTCTGGTACAGTGATTGTGTAATCTCCTGATGCTTCCTGCAGCATTCAATATTTCACCCATAGAATCTTTCAATACTGCAACTACAGGCTTGAATATTTTCTTCAGTTTTTTTTTTTTTTTAGCTTAAGAAATGCTGAGTGTGTTCTTCTCTTTTGGTTTTCTAACTCCAGGTCTTAGCACATTTCATTATAATACTTTACTTTGCCTTCTTGAGCCACCCTCTGAAATCTTCTGTTCAGCTTTTCTATCTTGTCATTTCTCCCATTTGCTTTAGCTACTCTCCATTCAAGGGCAAGTTTCAGAGTCTCTTCTGACATCCATTTTGATCTTTTCTTCCTTGTGTGTGTTTTTAATGACCTTTTGTTTTCTTCGTGTATGATGTTCTTGTTATAATCCCACAACATGGCTGGTTTTCTTTGGTCATTGGTACTCAGTGCATCTAATCTATTCTTCAGATGATCCCTAAATTCAGGTGGGATATAATCAGGGTCATATTTTGGCTCTCGTCGACTTGTTTTAATTGTCTTCAGCTTCAACTTGAACTTTCCTATGAGCAATGGATGGCTTGTTCCACAGTCAGTTCCAGGCCTTGTTTTGACTCAGGATACTGAGCTGCTCTGTCGCTTCTTTCCAAAGATGTAGTCAATTTGATCCTCATCGGGCAATCTACTTCCATAGTGATACCGCTTCAGAAACCTAAGGAGGGGTCACTATGAGTTGGGTCAGACTCGATGGCAGTGAGATTTTCCATCTGGTGAGGTCCACATGTATAGCTGCAGTTTATGTTGTTGAAAAGATATATGCAATGAATAAGTCTTTGGTCTTGCAAAATTCTATCATTCGATCTCCAGTGTCATTTTTATCAGGGCGATATTTTTCAACTACTACTGCTTCTTTGTTTCCAACTTTCACATTGCAAACACCAGTTATAATCAATACATCCTAATTGAATGTCTAGTCAATTTCAGACTGCAGAAGTGCATAACAATCTTCAATTTCTTCACCTTTAGTGGTTGGTGCGTAACTCATAGTGGTAGTAGCATTAACTGGTCTTCTCTGTAAGCATATGAATATTTTCCTATCACTGTATCATTGTACTTCAG